GCTTTCCAATGTTTCTCAAAACGACAGCGTGAGAGTTCCAGATTACCTTTTCATCACAGTTGTAAATGAAATCTGTAAGAAAATGAACAATGCAGGAAAAAAAGCTATTATTTCATGAGTTAACTTTTTTGTCAAGAAAGAGAAGAAATTCACAAGGAATTAAAGTAAATCAGAGAAAAGAAAGTTTTAGAAATTAAGGCTAAAATGCAAGCTTTTCCTGTGAAAGATCTTAAAAAAACCTAAAACTCATAAATCCCATCACTTCAGTAATTAGAAAACACATAGACAAACTTCTAGAAAAATACACTGACATCCAGCTCTGCTGTGATGCACCCCTTAGAAATACATAGCCCAGCTTCTCAGTAAGGCAGACTGCCTAGATCCTCAAGAGGTTAAACCACTGAATGATTTGAAGTCCAGTCTTTAAAAAAGACTATGCTGTCAAAGATTAGTTTCAGACATTAATTTCTGCCACTGATAAGAAAATGATAACTGCCATTTCCAAATTCTTCAAGCTTTCAAGTCCTGAAGAGTCGAAATTGTTTGTTCCCTTGATGTCAGGAAGCACCCTTTGCCCAAGTCCAATCCTTTTCATGGAATAATATAGGAAACATATCTTTGAATATATTCCTTCTGTAATAATGGCCTTGCCATGTTTTGTTTCCAAGACAACAGCAATAAAGCACTTCATTACATACTTCAGCTCCTAAATATTACAATAACAAGCACCATGAAGAAAGTACATACAGGTCTTTGCCCATTTTTGTGAAGCACACAAAATCCATACTGTTTGTGTTGTTTTAAGGACAAAATGTAATCATTGGTCAACATGACCTAGATTAAAAAAATTAGTAAGCCAGTTCTAATCTTGGGTGAAGAGTTGTTCCTAAGATTTTTGTTTTGTTTTTATTAAAACCTGAAAGGGAAGGAGCCAAGTATCTAGATGGTCTTGGTCTCACACTAAGCAGAGTATTATCAAGGGCATGTTTTGATCCACCAACCAAATCAGGTATCTTTAAACAATTGTTAAAATAATACATTCAAAATTCTCCTCTCCCCCTAGTAAAAATACCATAAGTATTAAGTACTCAGCATTCACATCCAGCCCTTCAATATTACATGCATATCTAATCAAGCAAAACACAATAAGAAAATATTAAATAGATGGCATTAACTTGATCAGAACGGCTCACACACCAAGAAGGATTATAATGGTAGGATGTTATATGGGCTGGCTGTAAGGAAACAAATAAAAAACTAAACTCTAGTGTGCTGAAAGCTAATCTTTGGATTGCCTATTTGTTTTTCTTCTCTTTTTGCTGCGTTCTCTTAAGTCTTTACAACATTATAATATCATTAGAATTTCTAAATCACAATACGTAGGATCCCAAATTAATATCAAAGCCAATCAGATGGAGGGAGGATACAATATACAATTAAAGCTAGCAGGTCTATGGTGACACCAAGAATGAATACATCAAAATATATCCAAATGCATAAAGAGTGTTTACATTCTTGAAAGCAAATGTAAAAGTCAAGTACAACCACCTACTCATCACTAATAGTCCAATTTCTCACAGGCATTACAGCAGAGGTAGGCACTGGGGAATGACGGGAGGCAGTAAATAATGACTTTATAAAATAGTCATATAGAAGCTTCCGTATATCCGAATGGTGTGAAAATACAAATTTTGTTAGCTGCTAACAAATGCTGCTTTTCTGGCTGAGAAACAAAAACCCAAAGATTAACTGCTTTACTGATTATCAGTTTGCAGCAAGTAAATGAGAACATTCAAAGTCCAGTCCACTAGTATATGACTCTCACTAGTAGTTAATACGTAAGCTTCAATGATGCCTCCGCGACACCTTTAGAACAACTGAAATTAAAAATATGTCACTTACTTCTTGCAATACTTGTCCAAGCGTCTCCCGGCTGTGAATGCGCTTCCTGTTGAAAACCAAAACCACACTTATTTCTGCACAAAGTATTGAGGGATCTTGTAAACATCAATCATTTATCCCACTTCAAAAGGAGAAGATTGTTATGCTAGGCTTTGTTCCACATCCTTATGGAATCTTGATGTAATTTTATGGACTCTTAATGCAATCTTACAGAGTCTACAAATTCTGGTTCAGACCTGTTATTATTCTCATCAGGAGGAACTACCTGCAATAAGGCTTGCAACAGATTGCAGCTTCTCAAAAAACAACCCTGTTTACTAAAAAGCTTAGTAAAATTTCAGCATAAATCCTAATATCTGGACATAGCTGATACTCAGTTGCTGTAGTGCCATCTTCTCCAGCACTAGACATCTGTTGTTCAGTAACTGATACAAGAAGATTACAAATACTTTTGTTTTACTCATTCTTCCAACATAGTCAAAGCGGTAAGCAGTGCTTGCAAACATAACAGCAATACAAAGACTTCAAAAAAAAATTATTTTCTATCAAAAGTGAGAACATGTCACTACAGTTATTGTTTCCAAACATCCTGTAATGCATGCACTAAAAATACTAGAAATGCAAATAGAGGGCAACATATTTTTACCTGTCTATTTTCGTGGCTATGACCACTGTAAAATTGCCTTCCATATTGGGCAAGTATGTAGAAGGTATAATTACGTAACTTCCTGCAGGAAGTCTGCAAAGTTGGCTTACTTCCTGTGAATAGCAATGGGGTACACAGCTAACCAGGGGCTCCAAGTGTAGGAAAGAGGAAGTATGTGGTTTCCAGCTGCTGTTAGGCACCTGCAAAAAAGAATGAAAACATGCCTATCTTTTCATATATTGCCAGCCTGACAATGTTAAATCCCTGGTATACCATAGTATGGTATGTTCCATATCTATTCCACTCCAAATACTCACTCTTCTTTACAGAGCTATATGAGAGGGATGGGAAGGCTTCCAGAAAACCGAAATGGTGGTATTAAGTACAGATAAATCATTCCTACCATGTTTATAGGCGGTTTATACAACCCAGTACCCACATAGTTCAAAAGCTTTTTCTGTTGTCTAATCTCACTCTTCCTCACTGCAGCCTAATGCACTTGTTTTTCACCCCATGGATATAGTGAACAGACTATGTCCTTCCTCTTCCTAGTGGCCTTCCCTGTACTAAAAATTCATAGTAGACTTCTCCTCAGTCTCCTATAGGCATGAAAAATGTCCTTCTTTCAATCTTTCTTCACATATTGTTATTTGAATCTATATGATCACTCCTAACGCCCAACTTTAGACTCTCCATTTAAGCAACACCTTTTCTGAAGCACGTTTTCTGAAAATAAAGCTAGCTTTCCCTGCAAAACAGCCACCTAACCAGAAGCTTCCCATCCTACATTTATGCAGTTGATCACTGGCACATACATGTAGTACGTTGTATTTGTCCATACCAAATCATATCTTGTTTTGTTTCAGATTAGTTGTTCAACATATCAGTCCTTTTGAATTCTAATCCTGCCTGCGGATCCAACACTGCTTGCCAATGGACAAGTAAATAATTATTAAAGATGAAGAAAGTAAGTTTCCATGATCGATTACCAAAAAGTCTGGTCCTCAGTCACTAAGACACTGAGAGTTCTGTGCAAATCCTCAAAAGAGTTCATCATTTCTAAAACTAATTTGGAACATTGGAAGGATTCAGTGGAAGCAATTATCTGATTACCATGCTACCCAGCGTGCAGTTATTCCGTATCTTTCACGGGCACTACTTCACAGGACCAGCCTGTGTTTCTCCTAGAAGCAGCGTGTCCCTTGCCAAGTGCAAGGAGCACTGAACTAACTGACAGGCTTACCTTCACGCTTGGCAAATGCACAATCGAACTGACCAGAAGTAGTCTTACCTGGAAAATATGGAAACCTATTGGACGACACTTGCTATCTTGGCAGTGCTGACGGAGGGTAACTTTCACACTGCTTTTTCCAGGTCCTGCAGGAATGGAGAGGGGAAAGCAGGGATTGATATGGAAGGAGGGGAAGTTCCTGCTACCTCCAGCACTTTGCCCATTTTTCCAGCATCCATGCAGCTGCACTGTCTCCCATTCACCTGCTGGGAGTTCTTCAGAGAGGGCAGCATTTGCAGGTGGCGGTTTTAGCTCACTATCAAATGTAAGAGAGAAAAGAAACTAAATGTACAAAATCTGTATGATTTCACAAAATCTAGAACACCAGCTCACAAAAACGAACTAGTATTATATAAACTTACATAAATAAAATTCCTCCAAACTTTCAGCATCAAGAAAAAGAGAACTGTACAATTCTATGTCCTTAGGTAATCCACAGAACTCCACAAGAACAACAGAGCATATACAAACCATGCACTAAAACCAGACGGATTTTTGTACGTTCATGAAGAAATGCAGCTTACACATTTTTCCTCAGTACTCTTGTGCTATTTGTCCTATTCGAAAGTGATACAACTGACAGCAACTTCTGGAGTACACATCAGCACCTCAGTAAGTCCAAAGCATACATGGCATTATTTTTTTATATTCACTACATCTTTAATCAGATGAAATTACCCTTTTACCTCTGACGTGATCATGTAACATTTCAATCTTTGCCCAGCACTGCTTTTCACAGCCATATGAACAATTTGGTATCATCATCAGTTGTGCAGCGTTTGAAATCCTATTTCAACATAACACCTGTCCTTATTTCCAATTTTCCAGTTGGGAACATATAACAGCTGTTGTGTTATTCTGTGATTGTCCATTCTAGACACATATCCAGGCTGGCACCTCTGTTTCAGTCTAAGGAAGTGTTATACTTAACAGCAATAATAGAAATTTTATTGCATCACTGAAAGTGCAACATGCTGTACAGATGAAATATGTCCAGAAACCAAATATATTGCCAGTAAGAAGTACACGACTTGCACCCATGCAGCAAAATTAGCCCCATAGTTTTGCAGACCTTTATTTGGTCTAAAACTTGATGCCATCTTGCTTCCAAATGCCACAGAGTAAATGATTAATGCATGTTCTGGCTTTGTAGTGTGATTTGCCAGCTTCTCTCCAAGGAGATATGAGTCGATAGCGTACTACAAAAAATCTGAATAGCTTTTAAACATGTTGCCAACAGCATGTTTTGCCTCTGCATATAGCTTACCCGGCACAAGCTGTTAGACAACCTCACATTTTTTCAGGTTTACTGGGAGAAGGTACAACTTTGCTGACTCCACACAAGTACTCATCACCGTGTCTTCTTAAGTATTTATTTCAAGGCTATGGTCACCAAGAGAATTGCTCACAAATAACTGACTTTAAAGTGTTGAGATAGCTAGGTAGTCTGCTACAGTTAAAATAATTAAAAGTAATCAGAAGCTACTGGACTGACATTCCTGATATTTTCTGTTGGATAAGCAAGCATTGTCAAACAGAAGGAAAAGATTGTTCTAAGTCTTTTATAAAAGTCTATTTTGTGTCACAAGTTATGAGGAAAGATCAGCTAGAACACAATATGCAGTGATCCTTCCAAGAATTTTATCGTAATGCTGGTAAACTTCTTGAGGCCTTCACAATTAAGAAGTTCAGCTGTATTGTCAGTGTTGAATGCTTTAATTCAAAAAACAATTCTTCATTCAGCTAAAGAAGACAGCATAAACATCAGTCCTATTTTCCACACCTGTCCAGGAAAGATGAGCCGTGAGCATTGTGTCATCCGAGTCCACTGCTGACACTCCATTTGCATTTGAAACTGTACTGCTCACTAATAACAACGTTATATGTCAGGCAATCTGTTAGTATGTGTTTTCCAGCATATATGATAATATATTGCTGTCCTTTTCTGTCGCTGATTGCAATAACAGCTGTTTTTAACTTCTGTGGCACATCTTCATTTTTTCCATACATTAAGAAAGAACTTCCACATATTGAGAAACATGTTCTGCACAAACCTATTCAGTTCTTTTACAAAACACACACTTTCTCAAAACACTGGGCTGCCATTTAAAGTCAAGATGCTACTCACCTGACTGCTTCTGACTGATATTTTAACAAGAGGTAGTAGCAGCTTCATGAAAAAAACAAGGAGAGAGATCACTACTTACATGAATTCAAAGACAAAACAAGTGCTGTTACTTGGTACTCTGCACAACCCTTCAAAACATTTTGAACATTTACACTTAGTGCTATACTTCATATATTTGTTTATGTCAACGACTGGAAGAAATTTTTTGTTTTGTGTTAAACCTACCTGAGAGAGATCCTTCCTGTTGAAAATACACGAAGCAAGAAATTCCCTACTGCATCTTTCAGAAAAGTGCTGGGAATAACAAGATAAAACCCAGGCAAAAGGTCACAGCATACATGCACTTCTCTATCATAGGAATGGCAGACGGTACCTACAACTGGAGGAGCAGAGAGGGTCTTTGGAAGGTTAAATCGTTTCTTCTCCACCTAGAATAGATGCATAATGATGTGTGGTGTTTTAGGAAAAATGAGGAGTTTTTAATAAAAACGATCAAATATTGTTTAAAATGTTTTTAAACATGCGTACATTTACAAAAGGAAACAAGGAGGAGAGTATCAGCAGATAAGCTGAACATCAAAGAGGAGTAGGAAGAGTTAATATTCAGGAGGAGTACATTTAGGAATAGTCATCAAATAATCAGCCTGAAATGTCATGCACTAGTTTGGAACAGTTCCAAAAGTTCTGCTACGTGGCACTCAACGATAAGAAGAAAGTACTAGTCCACTAATAGTTTGTACAGACAGTAACTGCATTGTGAGATAAACAGCATCATTCTAACGTAAATCAGAGATGTAAAATGTGTTGAATCATATCGCTGCAGTAGGAAATGAATGATTTTACTCAGATGTTTCAGTAATGCTTTAAAACTTCTATTTGCAAAAAGAAAAACGTCACTCCCGTATTACCTTCCAGACATGCAATCCCACAGCCTGATAATTCTTCCCCTGTACACCGCCAGTCAAAGATAGATTTTCCTCTGCCAAGTGAGTCAGATTTTGAATTCTTCCAGCCCAGTCAGCACTGTATTTCCTATGTTTCTGCAGCAGAGCAATGCACACCTCACTCTTTTCACAGACTCTCAGCCAGAACTTAGGGTTGGTAGGGAAGCTGCTGTTGTTACGGCAGCCACCTGCAGACTGGCCTCTCACCCAGGATCCAAAAAGATTCTGCGAGTGATACAGCACTTTCTCTAACAAAATAAGAAAAACACGGTGCGGATTTCAGACACCAGAGGCTACTTAATTTTATACAACCCATATATGGCAGAGATCCCCCAGCCCAAGAAAACATGCTGTCGTAGCCCTGACACTTTCTGCAAGCAGATATTCATGACCAAGATTTTGAGGCATGAAAATGAATGTCACAGCTGGTAATGGCAGATTGATGACATGATTTTTACAGCAAGACACTGTTTCTAGAAATCTGAAGTTTATCTCCCATTAAAAAAAAGTCACAAGGCTGTCCAGAACAACAGTCTTATAGAGAACACTAATCTCTCAACCAATTAGCAAGTAACTAGATCTCAGAGAAATATCAAAGACTCCTCTAAAGATCTTCAATTTCCTCTTGTCTCTCTGTTCTTCCTAGTAGAGACAGAAGAGGCCTATGGGTCTACAGGAGAGGGAAAGGCTGAGAAAGAGACTTTATGGTCTAGTTGCATCCATTTGCAATTCAAATCAGTCCCTCCCATTGACATAATGTTATTTGTACAAAAAAGATGTTTTCTCATACCACACCTGTATAGAGGCTCTGAAGTTGTCCTTCCTCATTGACTGGAAATCCCATGGTAATCTCATCAAATTCCCTGAAAAATTCCTCTTCATCAACCCAGAATTCTCCCTCTTGGATCTGTGAGAGCAGTTCTGAGGCAACTGCTGGATCTAGCTGGCTCCATCCTTGACCACTGCACATAAGACAAAAGTCAACATTTAGTTCTTTGCCCAATAAAGTTCCATAACACTGTTCTATCAAATATCCTATGGAGCAGGACAATAAGAGGTTTCTTCATTTTATTGTAAAATACTTGCATTGAATATTTCTGCACACATGTTGCTAGTGAGTGAGAGGGATAATAGAAAGTATCAATCACAACATACCAAAGAAAACTTTGAAACAACCTAACACTAGCTAGGGTACAGCAGCATGCTTTTAGGTGAAATAGCTACTTTGCTTACGACAGGACAGTCCCAAGTGCGAGAACAAAATAAAGATTTTTAACCATTGTTAAAAATAGTGACAAAAAAGTAAAACAAGCTGCACAGTGACTGTTCTGAAAGAATTTTAATGCTGTATAGTGAACATCAAAAATGACTCTTGGTACAAAGTAGCCGGTTACCCCCATGAATCTGCTGGCTAAGTCATGATAAACCAAGAATTTAAACACCTCATTATTTAGTGCCCATTAAAAGCTAGTACCTTCAACATTTTTGATTGTTTCACTAACAACAAAGAACAGTTCTGCACTTGAATAAAACAGGGCTCTAAGGCCACTCAGTGAAATGCTACCTTGCAACTACATGGCAACTTATCGTTTGGCAAAGAAACAAGAGACCAAGTGTATAACCAAAACTCTGCCAAAAGCAAAAACCATCTTAAGTCTCAATTGAAGTGACTAAGCCAACTTTTTAACTCATGGAAAAAAACCTATTTCTCTAAAATGTTTATTAACACAATCATATTGTTACCACATTTTAATGCTGAAAGCTTGCTCCTTGGGTCAAGAATTGCATGTTCTTTTGTGCAGTCTAAATACGCTAACACTTGTCAAAATAAGCCAGTAGGGTCTGCCCTTTCATTCTTGTTATTTTGCTATATGAACCGCTAAGCATATTTCTGCATTTCCTTTAAAACAGATCTCTTCTTTATATTGACTTGATTCCAGCTTCTCCTACTCATATTAATCTACAGAAATGAGAGCACACAAGCAAAAAATGTAAGCATCCTTCCTTCTGCTACATTTTGTTTTATACATACTCCTTTGCTTGTCTTCTGCAACGGAGACAAGATCAAATGAGAAGAGCCGAGTAAAGCTGAGTGACTACTTACAAGTCACAAACATCTTATGAGCAATGATACTTACGTCAATTGCAGAACAAAAATCAGAGACGGAAAATAAACCAACATCTTACGTTTATCTCTACGAAAAGATACGAAGCTTTGATAAACAAAAGAAATATTTGTTATTAAAAAAATTTAATTACCAGAACTAATAGATCAAAATGCCTAGCCTACTAGCCTTAGAACCAACGAGCTACGTGAACTGCTGAAGTCTCTAAAGGATTGCATACAAACTGAAGTCCCTCTCCTCTGCTATTGCCTATCAGCAACATTCACCTTTGCAATACATAGCTATGCTTTGTGCCTCAGAACTTTCACAAATGATTTTCCAAATTAAAATAAACCTACTCACCCCTCACACCAGGGACCTCTCCAGCACCGCCTCCCCCAAGGATTTCGTATTCGTAGTAGGCAGATTTCCTTGCCTGACACTTCAGACAGATTCAACATGTCTATCACAATAAAGGCATGAAATTCTCCGAGTTCACTTGCACCTGAATAGAAAAAAAGCATTTAAAAGTAAGCAAAAGAACCTGCTCCATATTTTACAATGAATGACATTAAACTATCCTGTGAAAGAAGGCAATTTTGAGATAAAATAAAATTGTTTTTAAATCGGTAAAAAACAGCATAAAAAGCCCCAAACAGTTCATTTTAGTTGTGACTATATAGAAATAAAATAAATGAAAATTTTAAAGCGTATTAACTCACTACTTGATCTCAAACATCTACAAATTCTCAGTGCTGAAATTCATTGGGGTTTTTAAGGTTGGTTTTTAGGTGTTTTTTCAGGGGGTGAGGGGTGTGCGTTTGTTTTTGAGAACTGACCATATTAGCACCGAATATAAAAAGCACTCCTCAAAAGCATCCTCCATCCTGAACTCAACAACATCCTTAAATCTTTACTTATCCAAGGTTATATAAAATTGCACCATGAAACTCGTATGCTACTAGAATCAGCACTATGCATTTGCTGGCTGCCTTGTGCTCTGAATCCTGTTAAATAGAGACATTTACTTTTAAAATGTCTAGAATTTTACTATTACCTTGTCTGGAATTGAGGACTGAGCAGCTTATTACGCACTGTTCCTTCAGATTCATTAATCTTCTAAACACTGCTTTCTCCAAAACCATGCCAGTCTTCTCTTTCTCCATGTTTCTTCCAGGACCTTTCAGGGTCCATCTTTCAGCAATTCCTCCAGTCAGATCAACCAAAGCATCTGCCACCTGTCCTGCCCACAACTGTTCATAAGATCCGTGCACTCTATTAAAAAAAAACAAAAAAAACAAAACAAAAAAAAACAAACCAAGAAAGCTTCTACAAACAGCAGAACTAAAGAAACATGGTTCTTATGTACTTTCAACCCCACTGTATATCATAGTCATGACTGTACCCTACCTCATATCCCCAAGTAGGCAAGAGAAAGCACATACTATTTTATTTACATGGAATACAACATGTAAAGAACATGTAAGCCATCAGACATTCCACTGTTTAATGGGAAGTTTATTACAATTAATTCCATCCTATACAGAAACCGCTCTAGTCTAGTACTAGTCATTTGTACCTTATTATCTGTGCACTACATCATCTTTCTGATATACTGATTGCATTCTGTACAAATAAATAACATTTCTTCTTCTTCAAGTATTCTTTGTTCATGCTGCACAAAGAACCAGAGTAGCAGGTCCTTCAACAATTTAAGTAAATCAAGAGACTACCCTACCTGATGCAGCGGATGCAAAAGATAGTAGAAGAAATCAGGACTATAATAGAATGATAAGACAAGATAGAACGGTAAGACTCTACAGAAAACAAAGAAAGAATATTACCTTCAAACCTACAGAGAAGCTTTAACATGCCATTGCTGCTTCACAAGGACTGCTCAACATATCTACAGTTGAATTACTTCATACTTAAAGTCTTTTTCTGCCCTCTGCTGGCAACCACACAATCTTTCGTCCAAGTTCTTTTGGACATTTGATGCCTATCTTACCAGTGCACTTTGGCTCCAAATTGTTTTGTCCATCTAGGCAGCATTTTGATGGATATGTCATAAAACATAAAATAGCTGCATTTTCAAACACATCAACAATATGGTTGTTTCTTCTCAAAATAATAAACTACCAAATTAAGCAAAAGCAGCAGTGAAACTCATACGACCAGAGCCTCAACTAGCATAAACTTAGGTAATGTTGCTTTCTACGAAAATATTTGCATGCTTGCTGCTTTTCACTGAGCCCTCAGCTGCACTAATAAAATATTTTCCTTTAATAAATTAGATAACCAATGGATAGTGACTTAATGAACGTCATTTGACTCCTGGTAAGTCATTGCAGCTCTTACTTTTCATCTTAATTCTCTCCCTAAGACTACCTTACCTCATATGCATCTAGAAGCACACCTTCCAGATCTACAGTTTAAAGAGCAACTTCTGCACAACCCAGTATGGGAAAGCCAGCAGCCGTTGTACTTTACATTGAATAATACACAGATCTATGCCCAAAGCAGTCAGATAAAATAAGTAAGCAGAAGGTATACAAGCATAGTACCTCCCTTTACTCCCCTCGATACCGGTGTTCACATACTTTGCATAAGCTTTTTCCAGCAGTGGAAGCCAAAACAAATCCTCTGTCTGACACTGGGAAAAGCAGAGTTTACCACCAAGGCAAGGCAAGCGATCGTCGATGGTCACTTCCACCCAGTGCCCGAACTGCCAGACTCGACAAGTGAAACAGCCTTGATACGACTCATCTGTCCAGCTGGGCTGACCTGGAGGGATTACCTAGATGACAAAAGCCAAAATCAAGACAAATAATGATTTTTCTTTTTTAAACAAAACCAGTTTAAAATATGCTGAATATTAACTGTTTGTAATAATAACAGGAAAAAAAGTCACAACAAAAACAGTAAAACTAAGCATAATAAAACTGATACTCAGTTTTGAGGCCTGGGATTCAAGAGCCACATACAAATGTAAATTAGGTGAAGAAAACTTCTGAAATACAAAATGAGAAACTTCTCTATACCTTATTCAGTAGGTATTTACTCTTCTGCAAAGCAACACAGGCACACAGGAACCAACAATCTCCCAAAATCCCTTGCTTCACTTGCACATCCTGCGGATTGTTTGAAAATAACCGAGGAGTAGAACAAATATCCTAAAATTAAAAGAAGGGGAGTTAAAGCCAAATCCTGTAGGACAGTCTAAGGACTTCTGTGTTTCAGAAAATGGGAGGGCTCCAGAGACCTCTCACAAAACAAAGGCATTTTTACCTCTAGAACATTTCCTCTTCAGACACAGCCTAAGCACACAATAACAAATTACTGCCTTGTGGCTATTTTGCAGGTACTTTGTGTGAAGCAAATCTAGTTCCCACATGGATTTTAGTACACAAATGTCACCATCAGGTGCAACCTTAGCAGAGGCACCAATAAGTGAAAGACAACATAATTCATCAGCTCCTTGCTAGACACATGATCAAGTGTGATGGAACAAGTGCCAATCACATTGCACTGCACAGCCCAAGTCATGAAAAATCTCCAAATTTGTGTAGGAGAAAAACCTTCCCTAGGGCAAATAAAAATAGATTACTTGGTAGCAAGAATTAATTTCAAATGCAAAGTTCTGAACACTTAATGAGATCTGAAAGTAAGTTTTTAAAATGGTTCTTCTCTCACCTGTAAACACTGCAAGAGATGGAAATTAACTGATCAGCGCTCAGCAGTAATCAAGGTGCAAGGTACAAAAGCAGAAAGTTGCACACTGGGCTCCATGAAGTCATTTGTTTGTCAATTCTATCTGATAATCAATAGCTCTGTCACTGTTCTACAGCCATCCCCAGATGCAGGGAAGAAAAACAATACCGCTAAAACACAACAGGCTTTTTTTCTCCATTACATTTTTATAGCCTGTTTTCGCCCTCCACACAAAGGCAGTATCAGAAATACTTCACTTCAAATGAATGTACTGCAGAAATGTATTCTAAACTTTTTAGCTCTCATGTGGTTTGCTCAAACCCAGCTGTAACTTTAAAAGCAATAGAAGTCATATGACAAGTTACAGCCTTAAAAAAGTTGTCTTTCTTGTTATCAAAGAAATCAACAATCGCAAAAAAAAAAAAGCAATATCCTTCTGAAAAACTCTAAAATCCAGTTATTTGTTTTCAAGAGTTATGCAATACATTGAAAAATTTGGGAATAACATCATGCTACTTTTAACTTGGTATGCATATTATTTGCGTAATGAAATATATTTATGATAAAATATCTGAATTTCTACTAGTGCCAAGAAATTCAAAAGTTCTACATCAGGATTTAAATCAAACCTACAAACAAGCACCCAGACTTAAAAACTATAACATAGACATTGTTAACATTGACATACATTGATTGGTTTTATCAGTTCTGTATTTTTAAACAATAAAAACACCCAGAAGCAGTCATTCAATGCTAAAAATCATTTAAATACCTTAAAGTTCACTTCTGCTAAAACCATGGGGTTTTATATCTTGAAACTCACCTTAGGTCTCAACCAAGATATCTCGCCTCTGAATTGAGCAAGCGGGGTACAATAATCAAAAAATATAGAGGTATCACTGGCTGGAAACGTGGGGTCTGCGTAAAGGTCTCTTTTCACGATTAATTGCTTTTTCTCTCCCAGCATTTTCAACACAACCTTAAATAGCTTTGCCGGCTATTTCCATGACTTTATATTGCCAAACACCAACCTAGAATGTAAACGAGCATTACTTGGGAACCATAACTGAGAAACAAATAAGCAAGACATTTATTTAGGAAGAGAAAGCTTCTCCCTCTTTCCACGGAGCACCTTGAACCACGCCATTGCCGGCTTCTTTCAGCACCTGATACCACCCTAGAGAGCCCCCGCTCTGCTGGAAAAGAGAATGGGGGTGTCAGAGGGTCCTGGGTACCGTCCCTCAGCACAGCAGGCCCCAAAAGGAGACCCACACCCAGGAGCCCACTTAGACCCCTTCCCTCTACGCGTACCCTCCCCAGAAGAACCCCTCCACCAACACCCCTCCACGCCCCGCCGCCATGCCGGGGCCGGCCGTTACCGCGGCAACGCCGGCCACTCTCTCACCACCTCTACTCCAGCCCAGAGATAACGGATTGGGCCGCCGGCCAATGAGAAGGCGGCAGGCGGGCACGTGGCGCACGCACCACCAATGAGGCGCCACCGGCAGCATGAGGAGCAGGGAAGGAGCAGGTCCCAGCCTGCCCCGCGGCGGGCGGGCGGAGCGCTGAGGGGAGCCGGGTCCGGGGCGGCCCGGGATTGAGGCGCTCAGGGAAACCTGGCAGAAACTGGAAATTCTCCTCCTCAGAGCCGGAGGAGGAAAGCTTAATGGTCACCTGAACAGCTCTTAGAGGCTGAGGAGAACGAAACCAACCTCTGTTTTCATGAAGGTTATGACAGGAACAGTCAGAGAAATTGTTGACCCGCGCAAAGCGGTTTCCTGAGATAATGGCAAAGATCACGTTTTTGGAGTTTGTCCAGGGGCTGAACTGGCAAAGGAAAGATGTCCTTTCTTATACTTTGATAACTACTACTGCCTAGTAAAATAGAAAAAATACATTAAAAAATACTGACATGCTATAAACAAAGAACAACGACAAAGGAAAGAAATGCAGAAATACCCCTTGCAGGCCATCCTTGAGTAAACCACTGCTAGTGCCCAGGTCTTTGGGCCAGGTCAAGGCATACTGAAGCAGGCTGCTTTCTTTTTCGTATTTGGGCCTTTTATATTAGTGTTTCTCAAGAAGTTGAAGTGTGGTCAAGCAAGCAGGCTGCTGAGCCGGCGTGAGAGGACACGATGTTTACAAAAAAAGCTGTTTTTCACGCTCACCTATAGTGATGGGTTTGAGTCTAAGGGTTATATCGCCTGGTCCTTGGGTAGAGAGGTTGTCTTAGAACAAGAGAGATCCACACAAAACACTGGTCTGATTTGTTTCTATCAGAAATGAATGCAGAAATCCTCCTCTCAAACCTCTGCCTTAGCAGAATGGAAATACTCACAGGTACCTGCAACCACCAACTGCTCCATAAACACATTCTCTGCTCCTTCCTTATGCCCATTGTACAGACATAAGGCTTCTCCACTGCATACAGCAAATTTAATGAACAAACAAGACTTTTCACGTTCGAGTTTTGACCCTTTTGGGAGCAAAGGAAACCTTGCCATCACTAAGAATAAAGACCCCTCTTGTCTACAGCTCATGCAAGAGAGCTGCAGCTGCACGGGCTGCAAGTGAGCTGACACAGGAGAGGTCTGTTGGGGGAGAGAAAGGGGAAAAAAAAGACCTCTGTCTCAGGAACAGTGAGGCTCTCATCTGTGTGATTTCACCCTTGCTGCTTTCTTTAGGAAACGGCGATCACAGATCACAACTGCATAAATTCCATTAAAGGACAGATTCTAGAAAGCAGTATGAACGTTGAGCTCTAACTGTAAATAGAGTAGATCCAACCTGGAACAGTGAAGTAGTTAAAACACATAGCAGTATTTATTTATGATGCTATTAGAAGAAGGAAAGAGATGGACATTATCTTGGTCTCTAAGATATCCGACATGCTTTTCTTGCCCCACTGCAAAGTTGGAAATGGGCAAATTCATCCATTATGCAGCTGGTGATGTTTTTTTCTATTAACCCCAAACTCTTTGGAATAAAAGCAGCAGAGAATTTTCTCTGTTGCCTCTTGGCAATCCTGCTAGATTAAAATATTCCTGAAGATAGAAAGACAGGTCTATTTAGACAGTAAGTCTTGAAGAGAATATTTTAAGACAAAATGACACTTGCTTTTCTGTCAATCTGCTTCTCAGTCCAGTTTACATAGGTGCTTCATGTTTCCTTGTAAAAGAGGAAAGCAGACACCGAGAGGCTGAGTCCAGTTGCTATGGAAATTTAAACAGTTCAAAGGGATTTGCATCCAGTTAAATAGCCAGCTCATTTCCATGTGAATGAAGACTATCCTTTGACAGAGTAGTATTTGATATTTTTATGATCATTTTCCAGTTTTTGGGTTTCATCAACCTCACATTCACTTTTGTCTCCAACTCCAGATGGTTCAAGGACAGGGAGATGGGTAAAGCGATCTGAGCAATGGTGGCTGGGCCCAACCTGTGTGTTTGTTTCTGCAAACTCTGACACACAGAAGTTGTTCAAATTGCACAGGGGGGCTCTTCCAGTTCTTCGGATCCTGGTACCAGGCTTAGGAAGGCACAGGCTTAGTCCCTGCAATACCACTAGGCTGAGAGTGGTCGGAGCTGTGTCAGAGGAGCAGCACAGATTGTCATTTTGCGTAAGGAAGATTTTGGAAGGAGTATCTGGGGTTTATGCTCAGAAGAGCATGGTATGGAAGAAATTGCTGATGGTTTTCATCAGCCAGCCAGAAGCAGCCTCGAATCACAGTGCTCTCTTCAGCTACTGGGAGGACAGACTCAGTCTTCTTCCAGAAAGACAGAGTGGCTTGGCCTGAGGGAGACTCCCATTGCTAGATAAAGATCTCCCTTGTTACCTCAGGCACACCCAGAGGTAGAGCACAGCTCCAAACTTCCATGCTGGCTACCACAGCACACGAGAACAAGGTGGTACAAGACGACAAAATCAAAACAGTGCACAAAGCTGATGCTTCCTTAGGTCATACACAGAATATCCGTCAGTTATTATGACTTAATCCTGGTGATGCTTTCCACCAAATCATAAGAGCTTGAAGAATACCCTGTCTCCCATCCTTTTGTGTCACCTCCCACTCTTCCTTAAGACCCTGCATCTCAGTAAGTATGCTTGTGGAAAAGGATGGAATGCTGTGCAAAACCTATTAATGCCATTTCTTAAATTTTAGAGAGACCTGTCTCTAGTATATTAGAACATCTTCCTTGTGGGGCACAGAGCACACCTATGTTCAACATAATCCTAATTCTCTCGACAGGAAATCAGAGGTGTACGACTTGAGTTTTCCAGCACAGAAGGTGCATGCACATAGAGGAGGAGTGAGGGGAGGCGTTCACACAGGCTCAATCATTTAACACAACCAGCTAGTCTCCCTCTGTACAGAGTGAAAAGAAAAAGTCACCCCCAGAGTACGGAATAGCTTTTCTCTACACCCCTTTAGCTGTAAAAGAAAAGGTTGCCAAGTCCATGTAAGACATGTTCTAACTGGTGCCCAAATTACTGTTGTAATTAATGAAAGAACAGGATAAATCCACAATATTAATAAAAATTCTTTTTAAGTCGGTGCAGAATACACAGCAGCATTTGAGGTAATTTTTGAGTAACAGTGTGCCGTTCTAGCAATTTCCACTTTAAAAGGATGCTGAAACATCACGCTCCACCCCAGAGCTAAAGCAATACATGAAGTATGGAAAACATACCTTGCAGCAAGAGACCAAACAACTCAATCCGTTTTCTCTAAGAATTAAGAGGTACTTACATGGGAAAGAGGTTAGTCACAGTAAGCAGTTTATGTTTCGCAAACAAACCAGTAGGTTCAAGAGCTGGAAGCTGAAACTAGAAATCCAAACTAGAAATTAGGTACGCAGTTTTGGGAGCGTATGTAATCAAGAGCGAGAACAACCTACCTGGGCCTTCAGTAAATTCAGTGTCATTTAAATTGAGTCCTCCCAACAGAGAAATAATTCTGTGTCTCAGAGGACAGTGGCTTGATAAATCTCACACTGTGATTTCTACTGTGGTTTGTTTTATACGCAGAGGCTGATATTGTGGTCATAACGACTTTTAAACTTTTATCAGTCTATAGTAAAGTGTGAAAACAAGTGTCATGTGATTTAAGCGTTGACCATATTGCGTTGTTTTATCTTTGGACAAACACAAACAGGGAAAACAGACTGAAGAAGTGTACTTGACCCAAGTGAATTGTGCAGTACATGTGCTTAGTACAGATGTACAGAAGGCCCTGTGTTATCCAAAAAAGGCAATGGCCAAGGTCACTGCAGTGCGAGAACATGAGAAAATTCTGGTTAAATCAGAATGTTTGGGATGCTTGCTAGAATTGTTCTTGATTAATGGAGTGCATGGTTAGGATGTTGCAATGTATCATGACAGCAAAATTACTGATACAAACTTAGAGTAATACGTGTAGCTAACAAGAATTATACTTCATGTATTAACCAATGTGGCTATGAAATGCTAAAAAATTAAGTTAGTAATATTCCATTTTATTAAAGGGTTTGGCTCTTCACAGCTTTTCCACAAGTGGTATTTCTGGATCCCATGTCACCCCGCTCAAGGCTGCAATGAAATAAAGTAATAGCTTTCATTTTCAAAATAAGGAAGATAATCCTATCTCTTGGCATCTGCTTAAATAAAACTGATTTGCTGTACTAATCTTAAACAGATCAGAAATGAACGTACCAAAGATAAGGCAAATAAATAGCTTCTATTTAATCTCAGTCTAATTTGCCTGTCAATGTGAAGTCGGCTACAAATCAAGACAGAAAGTAGCCCGAAGCATTCATTTATTTTGTTTCAACAAAAGGAAGGCTTATCTCCATGAACTTGCTGCCAATTTTGTCTCTTCAAAATAAAAATGCACTCCTTGCTCACAGGAGGAGCAGAAGTACCTGAAGAAGGATGCATGGAATACTTTCAACAAATCTTGCTTTGTTTCTGTGTTTCAGAGAACAAGTCTTATAAAAATAGCCATCTGATGGGATCTCACAGGGATGAGAGCAGAAACACTAACTTAAATCTCGTGTTCTTTAATCGGGAAACAGTCTGTT